CTCAGCCTAGTCAGGTGATCAGGTCATATGACCAAGGATGAGGTCATATGAGGTCATGCACAGCCATGCACAGCAGGTCACCTGACCATCCAATCCTTCCAGCAGGTTCCAGCACATGCCAAGGTATACCAGCTACTTCCATGTCATAAAGGCTTAGTCATGTCTCTTGACCAAGCAATGAGCTGGTGCCCTGACACTACTGGAAGATGATCAGGAATGGCTCAAATGCTTGGAGGAAGCATGCAATATGAAAACAGGAGCACAGCTATGACTTCTCTTTGTCACAATGCTTCAGCATTGTCATCCTGCTTCACCTGGACTACTGTGGGAGCACTGATCCAACCCAAGAGGTGTCTGACATATCAGTCTGATGGGTGGTGTGCAAGAACTTGCTAGGGAAAGAAGGGAGAGAAGGGGAAAATCAGTAGGAATGTGGGAGTCAAGCCTGTAGCTGAGCTGACAGAAGTCAGTTGATAATAATTTGGAGGTCAGTCTCTGTCTAGTAAAGTACGTCCAGTCGAGTTGAATATGCTAAGTTGATATGATGCTGCCTATCCAGTATGGGGATAATTGGATCCATATAATGCTCACAGAAAAGGGGCAGAATAAGCTAAGTACAGGAGTTTCTGGAAACTACTTATACTAGCTACTATAAACTGACCTCTATACTAAACCAGTCTCTGGATACCTCTCCAAGGCAGGCATTGGCATGCCAAATATCTGGGTGGGTCAATCCTGTTGCAGAGGAAACCTGCGGTTGTCATGCCAAATATCTGGGTGGTCCTGTCATATGGGAAACCTTGCAGTCATCATGCTGAATATCCAGGGGGGTCAAGACTTGTTGCTGGGGCACATTATCCACATACTGAGGGTCCATAGTGCTGTGCAACAGTCTCTAAGGCCCAAAAATAGCCATGGGAATACTGGCCTGACACACCCCACCAGAGGTGGGGCTGTTCATCCCCCCCAAACCTTGAGTACTGACTCCCTGAGTCAGTGGGGCACTGGGTGACATATTCCGCAGTCAGGAACACAGTGCAGTACCACTAAATATTTAGTTAGGCAAGGGTGGCATTATCAAGAATGAATCATGAGACTCACTGCTGTAAGACATCAGGCCACATACCGGGCACTGGTAAAATGGCAGCATTGTCATATTTGGTGGAGTGCGTATCAGAGGGCATTGCTGTGCATTTGGCACTAAGGGTGGCTGGTCAGCACGTGAAGACCCTAAGCAGTGGCTTACAGCACCACTTAAGTCTGCAAGAGGGACCCTGACCAAGTTTTTTGCATTGAGCCACATGGTGCCTGAGACCCTGATTGTCTGATTTCTTGCTTTGCAAAGCCCAGTGTGGTGTCTATCTGTGCTGCCTTAGCTGAAACAGCATTCTGGATATCAGCACTTAGCAGGGCCCATGCACATTTTCATTTTCCATTGAGGTGCTTGCATGCCTATAAATGGGATCAAATTTCACCTTTCCTGTCTCTGCAGATCTCAACTGAACCCCCACCTCCACTCACGCACATCCCCTTGCTCCAAAATGGCCAAGCCCAACACTCGCAAGTCCGCTGCCAGGCTGAAGGATGAGCATGCCACCATGCTCAAGACTGCTGCTGCAATCATTGCACAGATGCACGAAGACACTGAAGATCCCGGATTTTGGCCTCTGGTGAAATATTTGGACATCAAGCCATTTGGCAATGCAGTCGTGCTGCTCCTCAACTGTCCCCAGTCTGCCCTTGTCCACAATTTGCCTGAGAAGTGGGTCCAACTTTTTGGCCTTGACCAGCAAGAGGAGCTGGCCGCCTTGTCTGTGCTGCCCAAGGAGGATGAGGAAAAGGACAAGGATGAGAAGGAGTTTAAGGCCATGTTGTCTGGTTTTTTGGTATGTGTTTCCTTTTTTGTGGACCAGTTTCTTTTACTAACCCAAATTATATAGACATCCCTGGTGAGCCTGGCCAGCCCTTTGGTGAAGCCAGAGAAGGGCAAGGCAAAGGCGAAGGAGACAATGCCAGCAAAGGCAGTCATGCCATGCCTTGACAATGGCACCATGGAGATGCCACTGATACCCAGGGCATGCAGGAGGCCAACAAAAGTGGATTCCTGCAATGCAGTAAGTCAGCGGCTTTTCTTTTCTCATTTCGTCAATGATACTGACCAAAATGTTGCAGGGTTGGATGATTGAGGAGATGCTGGCAATGCTGTTGCTGCCAATGATGGATGATGCAGTGGTGGAGTCATTTGCGGCAGAGAATTGTGTGAGTGTTCCCTGCTGTTCACACTCCTTTTGACCTTACTGACACATTTTTGGCAGTGTTTGTTGTGCTGCAAGCATGCAGTTTTCATGGATGGGGTGCCGCACCATGAGTGTGACATTGTGGAGGTGCCTGACAAGGTGGTTTGTTTGGCATGCAAGGTGGCAAAAAAGCCCTGCAGCACTGTCAGGGCACCAGCTCATTGCTTGGTCAAGAGACATGACTAAGCCTTTATGACATGGAAGTAGCTGGTATACCTTGGCATGTGCTGGAACCTGCTGGAAGGATTGGATGGTCAGGTGACCTGCTGTGCATGGCTGTGCATGACCTCATATGACCTCATCCTTGGTCATATGACCTGATCACCTGACTAGGCTGAGTAAGCAAGATGTTCCAGCAGGTTCCACCACAGAGGTATAAATATAAGGCCTACTCTGCCTGGGACTGTCTCTTCAGACTTGGTCTCTTAGGATCATCCACCGGTACCTATACTGTAGATAGGTCTTAGTCATCAGGTCTACTCCACTTCCTTGTTGCCTGCTTAGACTCTTGGCAC